ACTCACGAATAACTATCAAAGTAACTAGGACTATTGCAGTCAAGTAGCTAGACTAATATCTATTAAATATCGCCAGAGACTCGGAATCGTACTGAAACAACAAGTAGCAAACGCAAAAATTAAATTGGATTCTACGAGTTAGTCATAAAGATATTGGACATCGAATGACATGTATTTTCAGTTTTCTAAGTTGTTGCTGATTTTCGTCTCTTTTATTATTAACTGTAAGAGGATTCTTTGTGCTTGTTAAGTTGAGAAATCACATATTCTATTGGTGTTTTCGTTTGTGAATTTCTTAATCCACCCCCCAGCCCAAAATATAACCTCAATCTGAACTCTAGCTATTAATTATTTCCATTTCAAAGAGGGATGCTCCCAGGATATATACAACTATCTGGTCGGGTTGCATACTACAACTTTCAGTGGTTCTGATATTATGCTACAGATTCGTTAAAAAACAAGTCCTTAAACATTGGGGTAACAATCCGTCCTAACACAGGCCATAAATCTTAACTAGAGTTCCTTGAAATCGAAAACCTATACAGATCTTAAATATCAAAATCACAACCAAAGTTTTCAATCTGAGATGCCAGTAAAGCCCACAATAGATGAATTTCGGTTGAACAAATCTGCACGTCCTCAGGTCACTTCTGATGCTGCTCGGTAAGCCCAGAACACGATCTCTGACATCCGTCAGAAGCCGACCAGCATATCATATCCTCAGACAGGTTTTTGTCATTCAAGTCATCAATATATCGTTGATCTTTTCTTCACGATTTACGGACTTCTGAGTGCAACAATTAACGTCATGATACCCTAAAAGAAATATATTAACAAATTCACTTTTTATACGTGCCATTGTCATCCAGAAGCCTTTCATTGCTGTAGCTACTGGATGATGTTACAGATAATGGAATCTCATTACAATCATTTTCCGCACTGACTGCTATCAATTCAACATAAATAACTGTTAAATTCAGTTACCTTTAATCGTGCTTTCATAAGCAAACTTGCTAAACGAAGGCAAATTATGTTTTATCTTGAAAGCTGTTCGTATTTTATTCCACCGTCCGTCATAAGTGGATCTATGACAGCCAACGATGCACGACAAGTTCACTGTTGCCCTACGAGCTTTAAATGAATTCATCTCACAACACAGACAAGTTAATTATTGATAGTGAGCATAAAAAATGGAGAGCACACAACTCATATGCACCTCGTAAGCTATTTGTGATGGTCATCCAGCACTTCATAACACTTTAGATAAATAAACAACAAAGTTGGGATATAAGCATCCGATAAAAATCGATGTGTTTGCATTTTCTCACTTGTGGTAATGATAATAGCCTTCAAATATGTTATTTATATACGTATTTGAAACACAAATACGGAAGGCGACATATTCGAACGCATTACGTTACGTGTATTTGTCTACAAATCGCCCCCAAATATACGACGTAAGGCGGAAAATCGACATTTACCCTAAATAACCGACTCAAGGGTGAAGAATCGACATTTATTCTTTGATTACGCTGTCGTATGCTTTATTTCCTTTTTATTGGTTGCTTGGGTTGTGCATCTTCCCTATATATATCCCTGAAGTATTTCATAACGACTTAGCCGTATATTTCGAAAATACCTATGACTAATTACCAATGTTTCTTGTGCATTCCGTAATGACAGTAAGATAAACCATTTTCGATATAAATATGGTTGTGTCCAAGTTCATGTATATCGACATTCACGTGACTTAGTATATTTTGAAAGCCAGTTGTTTCATGTTACCTCAGGTTTAAAAGAAAAAAAGTACGCAACTGTTGGTGTGTCTAATAATGTGATGAAAAACAATGAACTGCTTATATTAAAATTGCAAACAGTAATCCAAAGAACGTTCAATGCATGTAAAATACAGTTAATGTTTTTTACACATTCGTTGGTCACTCCGAAATTGAAAGATAAATTACCTAGACTAGCTACTTTCTGCGTCCATCAATTCAACTGCTCTTGTGTAGTAAGTTATATTTGCAGGTGTTTTAGGAACTTCAATTTTCATGCTTGCGAGAAAATCCAAGTGTGGTTAAGCAAAGGTACGGTTAAAACTTAGCTCTTGAATTTAGCTCATTAAGTTTAGTACAAATAGGCCATACATTCAACCAACATGGACCAATCATTTACAGTAATATATCATGTGAACAGTCTGTCCGAGTCTGTCAGACTAAGAATCTTTCAGACAGCTAGAACAGTAGCTATTTGGATAAAAAAACCCAGAGCTTTGCATCCATAAAAGATATGTTCAACAGCTATTTTCACCTCAGCCAACTTCTGGACTGATTAGCTAATAATCATTTTGATATGGTGACGTATTTTGATTAATGTTCATACAACCATACTCTTTGCATTTTCATAGCTTAAATTTATCTTAATCACACATCCTGTCATTATTATTCTCATAACACTTGCAGACGCTTTGATAAATTTATTTAGCATCCTCTACTTGCTAATCCGCACTTAATTCATATTATTCTACATATTACGTGATTTATGATTGCATTATCTCTCTCACCTCATGTTAACCATATTTCTTCTGGTCATTAGTCTCACAATTTCATTTAATGTACAAACTTATTCAAGTTAACACTTCATGTTAACCATCCCAATACTAACTGTTTTATTTTACAATTTTAAATCCACATTCTATAATGCTTAAGCAAAATATTTTCCCTTGAACCTGGACATATATCGGATTGTTGATTTGGATATATATTTGTATAACCTGAAAAGAATTTATTGGAAAGCATATTCTTCGTTCATATACCTGTTTTAATATGATGGGGATTTTTGTGCGACTAAAAACCAAATAACCATTTAATCATATAACTTTTATTAAATGAGAGATTTCCTGGTATACAAGTGCAAGGATAAATAGTGATTGGAATTCACACCGACATTCCCTCTTCATATAATAATATTCAAAGGTTGTTCCAAATCATTTTATATCACTAAGCTGTCTCTGCTATCATTAGTTATTCTCTTAGTTTATGAACATTTGTTTATTATTTTACACCTAGTTCGTCATAAATTTAACTAAACCCAAATAACGCGTGTTTATTGCAATTTTTCTAGAAGACTTCGTTTTTTACTGTATTCTATGTTTAAACGACCGTGTTCATCTCGAGTACGTAACTAAGCTTATCTGACATTAACCCACTCCAACTACACGCTCATAATATGGCTGTTGCTTTTGTCCGGTTAGTTATGTTATATATTGTATATCTGTAGTGGGATTTCGAAATTTGGTTTGGTTGCAGCTTTTGGATATTTTTCAGTTGTTGAGGGTGTTTGGAGCACAGCGGATAAGTGCTCTAATAACGCTACTAAAGTTAAGGAAGTCATGCCGCACCTATTTTCATTTCTCCAAAAGGTACTATGACATATATTTCAGTAATTTTCCCCAGTTTCCAGATGAAATGCGAGGAACATGGAATGAAAGTAAGGCTTGTAAATGACCATTATTTTTAGATGTAAAAAATTTTTTCACTTGGACGAGGAGTAACCAGTGCAGTAATTGCAAATTGAAACAATGTTTTAATTCGTTTGGATTATTTGAAAGGAAATCTTAGTTTATTTTGTAGTACACCTCTATCAAATATATATTTTAATTAGTTTTCAATTTTCTGTTTTGTCTTCTGTTATTCGTATAATCAGAAATACTTTTTCCTAGGATGTCTGATTCAAATGTTCTACGATTTCTCCTTCTCTGTGGAAAACTTAAAGTAAGAAGCTGACTACTTTTTCTAGTTATAACAATGTTACTTATAAAAAACCAGAGTTTTGTGTTTATTTGCTCTCCGTGAGTTGTGCAAAAAGAATTGTTTTCTTTTTGGATTTAATTCTTGACGTTTCCCTTCTTTTTCTCATCGGTTACTGCTTGCTATTCGTATGCAACTACTAATATTTTTGCAAATAAGTATCATAACGTCATGTATAATAGAATTCTTAGCAGTAAGCTATAAAATCATTGCGATAGTCAAGTAATTTTGTAATTGATTTTTAGGAGAAAAGGTTTAGAGATCATGTAGACAATATCCTACTTTATTTTGAGGATGGCAGTTAAGACAATGATCTGGTTCTTCATGCTAGTCGTAGATTTGTATGTACTAACATCACAGTTTACTGTATGTATTACTAGATTTTCTGAATGACTGTAAATGAGACTGACTATAGACCTATCATGTTAACATTTTTCATCCATAAGCTTCAGGAAATTCGCGATCGGAAATTTCTGAATTTCATACATGTACCATGTATATACAAAATTGATGTTTTTATGTTGCATTCTTGTGCATATTGTCATCTGTAAGACCATATCACTCACAACTCCAATATATAAAAACATATATCCAACTTCAAAGGACTAGTAATACGTTTCCCTTAAGAGCGCTTTAGAACTTTGAGTAGTTGTTTCTACTTCACCATCACTACCAAACTGGTTCCTCGGAAAATTTTTTTCTAGAGCACAGCTAAGAGTGTTAAACGCTTATATGTTAATAACACTGGTCCGTTCTGTTAACCTTCTCTGGGGTGCTATACTAGATAACCCAGTAGTATATTGGAAAAGGATGGGTGCTGAGACTTGATCTTATTCTTTAATACCACCAACTAGTGGTCTAAAACGTGTAGAAAGGCACTAGTTTTGTAGTAAATATCTGTCGAAAAATCACCATGGGTGTGCAAAGATCCACAGGTATCTATCATTTTTCTCGATGAATGGTTCTCAAAAGTCGTTTCATAGTATATACACTATGAATTTTTCACTCTCGATTTCAATCACCTCTTTAGAAACTTGTCCCTGTAGAGTGGAAATGTATCAAACGGATTCTTGTGCAAATTAATCGAGGGGTCTTAATCATATCTTTATTGTTAGAGGTTTTATTTGGAAAATGAAAGTAATAAATGTAAATTAATCAGTGGACTTATCTGTGGGTTTTCTTTATAAAAAACTTAGTCTCATTCTAATGGAATGTACATTACCATAACTTTAGAGATTTTTAACAAATGTAAACGGACAATGGGAGAGGGGTCTGCATAAAAGTTCGGTAATTATATTCAAATTATATTGATTTTTTCAATGAAAAAAAACTAGATCGTTAACTATGTCACTTCCACTTTCAGCCCAAATTCAAATGACAGTTAGTTGAGATTCTGACAACAGATCGCTCATTGTTATTGTTTTTAGGCCTTCTGAGAATGAAAGTTCGGGTCCAGATGTTTGGCTAATATTTCTACGTTACTAACTCCAATGGTTTTGTAAGTGATCACGCCCCTAAACTCCCATTTCTCACAATTATAGCTTGATTAATGTAGAATGGAAGTTGGTTATGATATCACGGAACTGATCACATTCCGTAAAAAGCTTAAGTGTCTTTTAATTACAGTGTACCAATACGGAAGTTAGATTTCATGTTTGGCACTGTTTTGATTCATGCTCGCAGTTCGTATCATTTGGAGAGAGAGTTTACTTAGTTTACTTCTTATTTGAAGTTCGACACACACTGCAATACCATCACTGTATCGTATAGTTTCTAAAGCGTTTTGTTAATTTCCATGAAAGTCATTTTCCTAACTACCATCACAGGAGGTTGTGGAAGAGACCATTTTTACTTCTACTGACCCACTTAAACATCACATACTCGGCTGTTGAATGTGGTTCAGTTATGAATTGTCGACCTTACTCTAACGATTTCGCATATATTATTACTCGATGTATCTTCTGTTACATGTTAGATAATTAAATGTTTGGGAGAATAACCGCATTGTAATGTCTACTTTTACAAATATGAAAGTCTGTTACATCCAACCGCTAATTTTTTTAGATTGTTAATACATCCATTTGAAAAGTAATATGTATGTCTAATTTTCGAAAGTCTTGCCCAACTACGTGCTTGATTTTACAAAATTCTGATAAATGCAAACATAACTAGACTTCAGAAGAATAAGATTATTGCTTAGACTTAAAGAAAAGTGGGAAACAATCAACCGAAAAGTTAAGAGTGCTTGATCAGTTGTTAGCCTGGTACATTTTATAAATTGGTTTATCGTGCGGACTTACTAGAAATATGTTTGATGTGACACGTGTCCCTAAAGAGTGCTGTTACGCTAAAAGTGTTGACAATCTTGAGAATACTTATTTTCTTAATATGAGAATTCCATATCGTAAGTATTAAAGTAGCGAATTAAAGCTCCTTTCCATGTCTACTTCTACGAATGCCTTAATATTTCATATTCTTCGTTGATTGTGTGAATTAAGATCTATAAGTACACGTATAGCATATTTAAAATAAACATTCGTGAGAATAATTCAAGTAAAAATTTATTAATAACTCTCCCAAGTCGATAAGATCACGAATAATCGATAATTCGGGGTGTTTTGTTCGGATGTGTCTCTTGCCTTCATCAGGGACCGTGCTGTGAGATAACTGACGTCATTTACATTATACAAATATTCTGTTTCCTAATGTATTCTCCAACTCAATGTGAGGATTTTTCGTGACTCCCACTTTCACTCGCACCATCTTATCACTTCATATACTAACCACATAAGGGTCCATCAAATTTGTTGTTGTGTAAGTATTTTCTCACAGTTAGTTGTTCTGATTGACAATGTTTCTATTTTGTTTGACCTTGAAGAGTTTTAGGCCGTTAATTCTGTAAATATGTCCTGTTTCCAAAAAAGCACACAATTTTCTACTGATATCAGCATACAAAAGATAAAAAGAGAGAACAGACACACGTAGGCTTATTATCTAGAAGGAAGGTAGAGTATTTGTTTAAAGGACTCTTAGTATAGTTCCCTGAGAAAATGATGAAACATAGTAGGGATCTTATTTTAATATCTTTATCTCAATTTAACTGATTTTATTTTATAAAGACTTCAACATAATTTGCAAAATTAGAAGTAGTAATAACTTGGATCATGCCTAAAACTCGTGTGATTGTTTATGTTTTTAGGTATTAATTAAATTACTGCTGTGATTTGCCATTGTTCGGGCCAATTTAGTTACATTCAAAAGCTAACTAATTTGGTCTGTTTCTATAAAGGGTTTAGTAAGCCTGATATATTGTATCAAATGATGCTTAGTATTTTATGAAAAGCAGTAGTAAATAGCTCATTGACGAGAAATTTACACCTCAGAAACGTTTTCTTCGGCCCAGCGAGTTGATAGTCATCCTGATGTATCAACGTTTGCAGTTTTTACATCTAATTGAAAGGTTTAATTCAGTTGAAAAATAAACCACCAACTCGTTATCTTCTTAAAAAGCCTTCAGCATACCATGTATTTTTCTGACATTCCACCAAAAACGTCAGTAGTCCAGTTCGTATATTTAATGGACAAAATTTCTATAAGATATACGCTAGCTGTTTTTCAAGGTTATCAGATTTATCATAGTATTTATTCATTTAACAGACTACTGTGTAAAGTTTGGTTGCAATATCTCTCATGGTTAACTACAAACTTACCCACATGTTTTAATGGAACTTCTGAGTTTATATATAAACATCACGTTTTTGAAAATATTTTTAGCGAACTGTTCGAGCTGGTTGGACACGTTACAACATAAACTCACCTGAAAGTGTTTCTGATCATATGTACCGGATGGCATTGATGGCTACCGTAATCCCAACAAATGAACGTGGAAATTTAAACACAGATCGGTAAGCATAGCTTTTTTGTTGGTTTAGGAGCTTGTTTCGCAAATTTTTTGCACTTGTCTGTATGACAAATCAACAGCTGTTAGTGGGAAAAATTTGGATAATATACAGATAAAGTTGCAAAGAAGCACTCTAAAACGTGTTTGTGAATTCGATTAGAGGTTTAAAACCTATGAGTGTTCACACTTCCTATGCCGAAATACCTGACAAATACGTGTTCAACTATTCTAATATATTATGATCCACATTTCGGCTACGGGTATTATCACTGAGTCCGTGCTTGGTTCGTTGGATTTTGTGGTCTCAGTTATCAATGTCGATGTAACGGCTGCACCTTTAAAAGACCGAATAACGATTAACAAACTGAAATTTATCAGTACTTTTTAATAATGTTTTTAATCTAATTCGGTAGTCGTTGAGTAATGAAATTATCATAACTAGCTTGTTACATCCGTGATTAAATAGTCGTTGGTTATTTTGCAACTTTTACTCTCTTCATTAACTGTCCAACTTTTCACAGACGGGAATTATCTCCTATTTACATTGCTTTTCGATTGGATATTTTGTGTATCAATACTTTAATTTCTGAATATTATTATGACTCTCATACATTTAGTCAGTCGGATTATGGTTCTATCATGGATTCACTTAATGAATATATATTTCAATAGAACAATGAGAAGACGAGGTTGATCTAAAAACTCTAATGTATATGCACTGTGCATTTCGAATTGTCTAATTTTAAACTTAAACTTGTTGACACATTTTCTATGAACATTAATAAAGGTCAAATGAACACAAAGTGATAATTATAAATAAAGCAGAGAAAACAGGTTAATATAATTTGGGAAACGTAGGAAATTGTGTCAATACCGTAAGCCATAAAATGGCTTAAAGATTATTAAGACAAATTCAAGTTTACGGCAAACTCTTTAAATTTGTGAATGACCATAGCTTGTATAAATCTAGGAATTTATCATAAAACTTTTCTATGCAAACTTACTATACTACACTGCTAAACTGATTGTGATTGAAAAAACTAAGCTCATGATTCCAAATAGGCCTAATCTTTGCACAAATGATTACGCCACAACTCATTGCATTTACCAATTTATATGTTTGCGTTGACATACATAAAAAGGAGTAACCGAACAGTACAATCAAGGGTTATGAAACATACGCCTAGATAGCTTCAGTACCCGTTGGTGTCAAATGTTCCTATAAGCATAGGAATTAAAATACCATATTATATTCATCTGTTTTCTGTCTTTTATTTATAATTATCGCTTTAAGTTCATTTGAACTTTCATTTAGTGACTTTTATTAACTTTCGCAGAAAATGTGTTGAGAAGTTTATGTATAATCAAACTGTTTGAAATGTATATTGTAAATACATAAAAGTTTACCTATCAACTACATCCTTTCATTAATATACGAAAACTTATGAAAGGGACTAATATCTTTGAATATGTATTTGTGTTTAGTTGTAAAGTATCAAGAAGGATAAAATACGTGTTATTAATACTACTAATATCACCAAATCACCAAATTAAATTTAAGTCATATAATATTAGTCCCTGTGTATTTTATAAACTGAATAAGTATAAATTATTTAAGGTACTGAATATGGTGTATGTTTGTTTACTATCAATCCAATCTTCCCTAGAGAGAATACTATATTAGGGTGGGAATTTTCGTGAAGAATGTTCAATTAGAGGATAACTTACATTCCATTATCAAATTCAGTTGTTTAACTATTGAAAATAAAAAACAAACACTAAGCATCTAAGTGTGTCCATTTTGGGACTAATTAATAATGTGCTGCATCCACATTCCAACAAAGGATCGGATTCAAAACCTTGGAATCTTATGGTGATAATGGTACCTCTAAAGCACTAAGTCATAAATCAGTACTTTTCATTTCTAATTTTATCCAAGTTTCGATATTGTGTGATCATTATATCATATCATCTGTAGTATGCATGTATCACTTATAATACAACTGAACTTCACTGATGACTTCTTCAAACTAGAACCTCACAAAATCTTTTCAGATGTTGTTACTAGTGAGCAGTTTTAAACTGGTGTGAATTTCTCTCAAAGTAAGAAACTTTATGTACCTCAATTCCAATACAAAATGTTCTTTCTATCTATTTATTTAAAATTTTGAAGTTCGATTTTGTTGATTAATGGCTTTAATTAACCCATATCAGCTCATTTGCATAATGAAAATCACATTCAATGTACAAAGTCTGTTAAATGTTCATTTGGATATTTGTTCTATCCTTGTTTGTTGTTCATTAAGTTGTCACATTAATTCCATGTATTTGTATTTAATTTATTCCTATTTACCATATTTTGATAGCTTTTTCCCTTATCGAATATAAGCAAAACAGTATGGTTTTAAATGTTCGCTTTTCTTTGTTACGTCTGAACATGTTTCCATTTTTTTAGATTATTAAAAATGGCAATTGTACATGATTTAGCTGAATGTATCGTGGGAGATATTACACCACATTGTGGAGTATCGAAAGAAGAAAAACTGTCCAGAGAAAAAGTTAGTAAATATTTCTTACCAGTTTGATTACTGAACTAGTTTATCATGTTGTAGCAACCAGTTGTATGTGTTTATTTAGAGATCAGTATCGATCCATCAGAGTGACCACTAACTAAGAACTTCTAATCTATTATTTTAATAATTGAAGTAACAGGATTTAGATGCAGATGAATTAGTCTTAATAAAAACATTAGAAATATTGTGCTTTTAAGATAATAATTCATTTACCTTACCAGACGCTATAAAATGTTTCACATTCTTGTCTCAGTAACAGTTTCCATTATAACGAAAGGAAGATATTATATTTAACCTGGGAAGTCTCTTCACTCCATTTCAAGCGTTGTTTTAGTGTTTTAAAAGATAATTGTGTATTTCAACAAAAATACTTGTTTATGGTTTTGCGCACTAATAGAATACTGGTATGTGCTCCATGTGAAATGGAGAGAGCTTATTTCATGTGTTCCCCGTTTTTATTCATAGAGTAATTAAACGATAGTTGTTTTCTTAATCTCGAAAAGGAAAAATCCATGAACTGCGTTGGGGCCTGTGTGATCGAGCCAATTGTTTATGAAAGAGTTATATTATCTAGTCCGTTTTATGAACGTATTCATCCGTGTTCCCTGTAGGACTAGTGACCTCATAACCAATAACTCAGTAACCGTGATTAATGACCGGTGAATCTTGGCCTTTACTGATCCACGAGCTACTTCCAGTTGGAATTATATTAGTTCTCTGTTTTACTCTATTCACTCATAATTCGAAATCCATAGTAATATACACCAAATACTTAAGGATCACACAATGAAAAATATAAATAATAACCCTTCGTACAATAGTTTTGAAAATTTAGTCTTTCCTAAATACTCCTTATAAAAATTTCATTTTGTGGTGTTGATGTATGAGTACTTTTTTGCCGAAAGGCAATTACTGATGTATGTTTATATCACTAGAAAAAATAAACATTTAATAAGTTATATTGGGATAGAAAATTGATTTAATAAGTATATTTTGCTTCTTTTCCATTACTGATCCTTCAGTGAATTGCTTTGACTTCTTCATTGGATTTCATTTGCCAATTTTTTGTATATTTATATTCCAATTATTAGAGTTTTTTGTATATCTCGTTATAAAAGTTTTTTTCGCAAACGTGAAATCAGGATAAGCCTAATAACTAGGAAAGATTCTCGATTATGGTTAGTTTTAACTCGCGGTCGCGTGTGAGTTCGCTTCTCTTGTGGGGACTCTTAGATGCTGACTACTGAGCGATCCCATACTAGTAAGAAATGTACGTCCTTTGCTTTCAGGTATCCAATGGTGTTCTAACATTTGTTGGTTCGTTATTTCATTGACATTCAGTAGTCCCTACAACCCTGTGCTTACAATTTTAAAAATGTTTACTAGCTATTTAGAAACCTGCTTCCAAGATGTTATCTGGACCATTATAAATATCCAAATAATCTTAACTAGATGACATCTTTTATATTTATGTTATGCATACTAATCAAATCTTGTTTTGTTCAGCGATCAAATGCATTTAGCAACGAGCTTTTTTCCTAGAGTTCCTACTATTTACCACTCGACAGCTTCTTAGATTAACTAGGTTTTCCTGTCCATCGCCTTTAATTACCCAACATCTCAACATACTGTGCTCGATGTCAAGTCACTTAGACCAGTGTTCACAGTACAAATTAATCGATAAAATTTGACCAGCACTAAAGAACTAAAGAAACATAACATTCGTCACTGGGCAGTTATAAATATCTCAATCTTACGGGATGTTAGTCGAGGCCTCAATAGTTCAACGATAACATTTCAGACTATGAAACTAAAGGACGTAGATACTAGTTTTATAGGAGCATCATTTTCTTCGAGGTCTCTTTTGGGTGTCAACTAACACTAAACCTAGGTACATTGTTCTCTCTCAACTACCTTACAACAGTCAGAATTACATCTTTGTATGTAAGTGTTGTATCCCTCATCCCTTGGTTATTTTTTTGCAGGACGCTATGAAACAATTATGTGAACTTATTTCAGAAGAGAGCAGTGCAGAAATTATGAGTTTATGGAAAGTAACTTATTATAATCATTATATTTGATAATTTATACTATCTATAGGAATATGTTGATCAGCAAACACCAGAGGCTGTTATTTGTAAAGATTTTGATAAGTACGTTATTTTATTACCTTAAAATATCTTTTTTAACAGATTTGAGATGCTCTTGCAGGCTTATGAATATGAACATGAAACTCTTGAACCAGGAAAATTAGAATCATTTTTCGAAAGTACTCTAGGTAAATAATATTTTCACTATTCTGATTTTCTTTTTCCCTCAAATGTGATTAATTTTTAAAGGAACATTTAGCACAAGTTTGGGTCAAAAGTGGGTCAAAGAGCTGTGTTCATTGCGGAAAAATTTATTTATTCAGTGTGAATCTAGTGATAAAAGTGGCTAGTATGTGCCTCAGTTTCTACGAGACTTTAGGATATTCCTCTTTTTCTATGCATTTAAATACTTCTATGTGACTTCACCGATTAAATTTTGACAAATCATGTATATTTCTTTTGATTTTAATAAGTCATTTTTACTGACGTTTGTCGCCATATGTTATGAAAATCAAAGAGTTTATTATTACCCGCTGAATAACATTACAGTATTTTTATGTTGTATTTTGTGAAACTCATCTTTAGATTTGACTCATTGTACATTTTTATTGTTTTTATGGATTATAGACGGTTGAAGATGTGATTCAATCGTCGGTTTCCTTGTGGGTTATTTAGTTGAAGAAATACTCTTAGTAAAGCATTGTCGTATTACGCTCCGAGTCAGATTTATGTGGTACGAAATCCGACGGCGTAAATTAGAAAGGAACTACTAATCACTTTGGTGGTTGTGACTGGAGATTTCAGTACAGTGTTTTACCATGTTATAAATTTATATCCGTATGAATGATAATACATGGAAACTATTATGTTTCTACTAATTTGATAATCATATGAGAACTTCAAATTAAGGTGCCGTCATTGATTTTCACTCCTTATAATCTAGGTGATCCACATACTTATTACATAAACATTTAAAGGTTCACTTGCTATTTGTAGCTTACTAAACAAATGGCAATTATACTACTAGTTCAGTCTCGGTTTTTGGCTTTAATTAACATTTGTTCACAGGAAACGCAGCGTTACCAAATCTAACACGTCAGTAAAAGCACTGATGAACTATAATGCTTTCTATGTAGGTGTTTAGTATTCAGTCATGTCGACAAACCTTTTTATACTACTTCCTGTATAGTTAAACTGGTAACAATTGTTCTTTTGGATTACTTGTATTCCAGCAATCCAGTGATGGTGATAGGCATAGGCTTTTTTTCATTTTTGAGATTTGTCACTTTTGGAGTTTCTTCAGATGGACTGTTTGTGGATCGTCTGTAGCTGTCGTGGTGTGCTTAACAGCTTGATCGAGGTGCTGTTGAGATATTCAGTAAAATATCTCAAAAATTATCCTGCTAACTCTAATGCTGTTCTTGAACGTGAAAAGATGTCATTTTCCTATTGGTCAGTATTTATGGTAGTCCTAACTGTATAAATATGCATTTGTCTATAAAGTATTAGTCCTATTCTTATTCTTCTCCTGACCCCATAAACAATTTCATCTACGGTTCGTGTTCTGATATATTGGAGATTGGGGAACCGTATTGGAGTCGTACTGAAATATCTGAAGTTGGTCAGTCAGTAGAAATTAGAGTAGCCACCCACGCGGTCCACAGTCGGGGCCTTCATATTTCAAGGTTTTATTATTAGTTGGTACTTAAACCAAGTCTCAACGACCGTGGCTAGGGTTCTGGTGAGTAAGACCTAGAACCTCGAAGTGTATGTGGGTCTTATTCACTTTGTTTATTACCCATGATAGGACTATAATACTTTTGTTTTCTATATTGACGAAAGTTTTATGAATACTTTTATCACTATTTAGATGTCTTTGCCCATTGAAACTACGAGGCCCTCTTCATGAAATAGGTACTCCATTTAATTAATGTCACCGAGTGTCTTGACATGTTAAGGTGAACCATTAGGTCTGTTGACAACGCAAGTTCAAATTTAGGATGATCTCAATGAAGGCTTTCAAAATCGTATTCTACGCATGTGGGGTCGTTGCAGATCGTACGGCATGTTATCACGCATAATAAACGTTACATTAGCGAACTTTTAGGAGATAATCTTATTCTCTGCTTTCAACGAAGGTTTATCAGTCACACATTGGGGACTACTGATATGGAATTAAACTTTATCTCAAATACAGTAGGCCTAACCACACTTCGCGATCTTTTTGATGAGCCGAACGTTAGTACTGTTAAGAGTCCTTTTATTTGGCTGTAGTACCACTAAGTAATAATATGGAGAATGCGTACATCATTCGTATCCATCTGTTCAACAGCTCAAGGTTTTGTATTTGCAAATCTATTACGTTGATCGGCATCCAAATCTGCTAGCAGTGAAGTTGTAATCGAATGTATCCTGAAAATTTAGATTCGCCATAGTATCGTGGATTGGAGGAATCATGTAGCTTCTCTGTTATTTTCTAATGTTTATAGTTAACTCTTACACTGTGTGAGTCAATGTCGAGCACAGAAACGCCGGGTGAACGTTGTAAATGAGTTGTTATTACATGCTCCTTTGGATACAAGGTAAGCTAAAAGGTGCTAGGCAGAGATTGAAAGAGTAGTTTGTGTTCGTTTGCACAAAACAAGGCATATATGATGAAAACCAGTTACTCGAATACTACAAAAATAAAAGGAAGTTGGAGATTTTGCCTTGCTAATCGGTTCATAACTATCTGTGTAATAAAAAGATGTATGACTGACTATCTTTAATTACGATGTTTTAATGAAGGTGACTCGAAAGTAGATCAAGTAGGTATATTTTATGGAATAGTGGAATATACTACTAATAAGTATTTTCTTTCTGGTTCTACTGTAGATCATCAACGTTGATGATCTACGTTGAACGATTGTTGACCTACTCGAGTTAGTGAGATCACCACCGCTTTAGCCAGTCCATGACATGCGATTAATTGATGCGCGTTGGTTGTCTTTGACTTTGACAGGGATTGATAATCTATCCGATACTCAGTGGCCCAACTGTCAGATGACTTGGCTAGGGTTCAGCGATATTTCATTCGTCCTACAACACATTTATCGATAAGTAAGCCGCAAATCGAAAGAACACTGAATCTGCTACCATGGAAAGAATATGTAAACATGCTTTATGTCGACATAACGAGGGACTGGTTGTGAAAGTGCGATCGTTATTTTTATCACACAGAAATTCACATTCACGAAGCCTACAACGATCAGCAACACAAAGCTTACTTGATGTCAATACCGACTGGTATGAATGAATCATTTAGAGTCAAACCTATAACAAATAGAATTTAGGACTACTATTTTTATCTTCTCGAAAGCCGATAATGAGAAAAAGTATAACAACGGGTTTTCGGCGGTTTACATAAACGTTTAATTGAAGCTGAACATCGGCATATAATTCATTACTGAGATTGTTACACTGGAAATTTGTCTGAGCATTTTGGATTACTATGCTTCCACATAAGCAATGTTTGTCAGTGAAAGTGTGACTAGTCACTAAGTGTTGACAAGCAGGCACTCAACTTCCAACTGATGACTGATTGTATGCTAGATCAGATTCACTGAGAATGAACGCTTGTAATTGTGTGGAATAAAGTATGGTATATTTATTCTGGTTGTGTAATGCTGCTTGTGATTCGGGTTTTTCATGTAACTTGATTTAGTCAGTACAAAGCGGATCGTCCGATTGTCCAATACAGAGGTATTATAAGCCCGTTCATCCCGTTCGGTTTTTTATTACCGCGCCATCGTAGCAAACTGGGAAAAGAAAAACATTTTGTTCCATACATTATAACTTAATTCAAACCATTTAGACCCTGCCCTGAGATTTAGAAGTTCTGTAGAATTATGGTCTACTATGATATTACTACTGCTCTAATAATAGACCTAATCCTAAAATTGTAGATTTGTCATGATATAACTGCCTAATCTATAAGATCTTACGGGAAGTCAAACCATCGACTACACCAACTCACTGTATCGTATCAATTACCAATACATGATGTAGAACAAGGTTAGGCTAGGGAAAGAACAATATATTTAATATGAATAGAATATATCAAATCCAATTCATTCAACACATTCTTCCCACCTACTCCATCGTTAGGTATTTCCTTGCTTAAATATTGAATATCTGTTTTCCGAGTTGTCTCGTTTTCAGTTCTGAGGATTGTGTGGTTATGGTCCAATGCCACTACAGTTCTTCATTTAGAAGAGTTATGACGCCTCATGGTTAAAGCAGAGTTCCTTCGGAAGTCCGGAGGCTGATGCTTCTTTTTGCAACTAGAGCAAACACTAATTAGGGTACATGGAATGTTCGCACAATGTGGGAGACCGGGAGAGTCATCCAGATTACTGCAAAGTGAAGAAGGTACAATAAAACAATAAGTGTTAAATATTTTCAGTATATGAGCATCAAATGTCCCGTTCGAATGTAATGTAGTATATAATTATGGTTTTCTCTGGCGGTATGAATAATTAGCTTCTCGGCTCTCTGAGATAAGATCGTGTGGTGTATGAATCATTAGGCCGACATGACATGATTTCTAAAGACACTAACCCGGTGAAAAACTCTTTAAAATTGGAAACATGTATCTACCGCGACTGGAGCATCTGCCTTCCAAATTGAGAATGAGATACGCCATAATTAACTATGCTTAGGCACGAAACCAGTACTAATAAATGAACGATGACATGCACATACGTTTGTTCAAGCACTAATGCAAATTAATTCGCTGGTACAACGAATATCAGCATCAGTTACAATTTCAACGATTTAGATATCTGTAAGAGGAAAATTTTTTAAAACTTTATGATGACTGTCTATGTATTGGAAGACCTAGTTTATTTTAGCAAGTCAGGTTTTTTTCAGGTTAAATACTGTCATTCATTAGGCAAGATATCCAATATCGCTCGTAACAAACTGAGGTTTGATAAGACTTTATTACTGCAACGCCACTTGAATGCTGAGCGTTGTGTGAACAATGAAATAAATCAGTTTTCGTTTACTCATCGCATGTTAGACATTGGAACTAGAAAGCTTAATAGTTGGTGCAATTTTCAAACTATGGCGGATGGAAGACGCGGTACCCCAAAATGTAGCCCAGAGGTTCGTATTGGGAACTACATAATCGGAGAAACACTTGGTGTCGGAACTTTCGGAAAAGTCAAAGTTGGAATTCATAAATCTACCGGTGTGCAAGTTGCTGTAAAGATAGTGAACAGGGATAAAATCAAAGCTCTCGATGTCGCCGGCAAACTACGTCGCGAAATCCTCAATCTTTGGCTTTTCCGACATCCCCACATCATCAAGTTGTATCAAGTCATTAGTACTCCAACTGACATATTTATGATAATGGAGTATGTCAGTGGAGGGGAATTATTCGATTACATAGTGAAGTCTGGAAGACTCTCTGAGAAAGACGCTAGAAAGTTTTTTCAGCAAATAATTTCCGGAGTCGCCTACTGTCATCGTCATAAGGTTGTACATAGAGATTTAAAGCCAGAAAATTTGTTGCTGGACTCAAACCAAAACGTAAAGATTGCTGACTTTGGTTAGTGGACTGTAATTTCACTTTCCGTACAGCATAAATAATGTTAATAACCCGACGAGTGTCATTGTTTTTTCGCTGGGCTTGTTTGCCGGTAGTGAAATACCTTATGCCGAACAAGTCAGGCTACTTGGTGACATTAACATTCTACTGGTTGTATACCGAGAATTTGTTTGTACCATGATGATATTGGGACAGTTATACTTTTTAATTCCTGATTTGGTGATTTAAGCGTCATGCTTTCAGTTATCGATCTTGGAGTTTTTATTCTGGTAATTTCTCAGGTTTGCGTTAATGAATGGTGCTCAAAGACCTACCTTTTAAACATCGATTTCTTGCTTGATTGTGATTAACTCTACCTGTAATGCTGCAGTCATAGTTCTGTATTGCGATATTTACTTGTTCAGTGGGGTTTTTTTTAGCGTAAAATGTAGTGGTGTTTGTCTCTCCTTTTTAAGCTAATTGTCTTATGAACGTCGCTTATTGTGGTGTTACCTGATATTGCCATCAAGTCTGGTGTATTCGTTACCAACAGTTATGTTCTTCGTTTGCGTTTCTCTCCATCTTAAATCTGGTGTGTGGATTGAACCTTGGTTGATTTTAATCGTGTACACCAAAACAGATTTTTTAAAATTTGCATGTATGTTTACAGTAACTTTTTAGGGTAATCAGTTTAGTTCATTGATCCAACGTGATTGCAAGGAATTGATTTGATAGCAAAAAACGCTGCCTAAATAGAATACAGTCCCTCAAACGAAATCGTGGCTCGACAGTTTAGGTCAAATGTCTTAGTACTTTCAGGTTATATATAGCTTGTGGATGATTATTTTTATGGTATATATTGCTGTATTACAGGACCTGGTTGTATGGTACATGCTTGCTTTGGTTTCCATCCGCAACAACACCTACGTGTTTAAGAAATACTTTTCTAAGAAGCTGGAATAATGTTTTAGTGCTGTTGGTTGACATACTATTTAACTAAGGTTTGTACAGTAGTCATATAGCAATTGTCCGTATTTTGGAAATTTGTTTTGGCGGTATAGAGAACTTCAGTAATTTCAAAGTTCAGTACTGTTCTAACAGAATAATGTATAAAAAATTCGCCTTTTTCCAGGATTGTCCAATATAATGCAAGATGGTGAGTTTCTACGTACTTCTTGTGGATCCCCAAACTATGCTGCCCCTGAAGTAATATCTGGGAAGTTATATGCTGGTCCGGAAGTAGATGTATGGTCCTGTGGAGTAATTTTGTATGCATTGCTATGTGGCACACTTCCTTTTGATGATGAACATATACCTACACTTTTTAAAAAAATCAAAGCAGGCTATTTCCATTTGCCAGAAACTTTGAGTTCAGGTGTAAGTGTATGTTTTTTTAATTGGGAAACTATCATCCTTATTCTTCACTTAAAGATTCTTTTGCTTTCTGTCTTGCCTGGTAGGTTTGGATCATGTTAACTTTATCTGAGATCTATTGCGTCCCGTGTCTTCTAAAGGAACGTTAGGAAAATCGTATTCCTGATTGCTCCCCTGTCAAACTAGTGAATATGAATAAAACAACAGGAATTAAAGCATCATAGGTGATTTCTTAAAAATATTCATGTGATAGTGATAAAAGAGCTTGGTTATTTAGAATAGTTTGACAGACTTCATCCACACTATTTCATTTCGTCTTAGTTTTTGCTAACAAATATTTTAGCTGTAGGTTGTACACCACAAGCACAACTCTTGTAGTTTAGATCAACTATTGCGTATCCAAAGTCTGCAACTATATGTCATTGGTGAAGTAGTAGTGCATTTCATAGTGAACTAATAGTATATATATATATATATATATATATATATATATATATATATATATATATATATAATCACTTTTTTGTTCAGGTCAGGGATCTTCTTCGAAGAATGATAACTGTGGACCCGATCAAGCGTGCAACCATAGAAGAAATCAGACGACATCCGTGGTTCTCAGTTGATCTTCCTAGTCATCTTTTCCCTCAAGAACGCGATGAAGATGCATCAATAATTGACAAGGTAATGCTTTTAAAATTAATGTCTTCTGCAATTTTTTGTATTATGTATTGAAACGAAAGCACATCAGAGTTGGTTATTTTGTTTTATATTGTAATTTTTAAGATTAATATGAATCAATTTATTAATAGTTATGGTTACTGTTTTGTTTGAGTGTTTATAATTATTTCTCATTGAAATATTTTAATGTTTCTTGGCTGACTTGAGGTTTACTCTATGTTTTATGGTCTTGTCCCTGCCAACTGTAAACATCGTATTAGTTTCGTGACATTCGTTATTAAGTTCTAGCAACCGTTTCTTCTGAAGTCATCGTTACTCAGAGCCTACCTAGAAAGGCTATAAACATACGACTGCTAAAGTGCTGTGACAGACATCATGTGACCGACTTATTAGTTAAATAATATACGGGATATGACTTCATATTTAAAGTGCTGTCTTTCCACTCGTTTGTGTTCAGTTTCTATAGGAGGACAATGAAAGAATGCCAAGTCGCTTGAACTAGTGGTCACACTGCTAATTGACGGATAAAGTCCGACCAACATTATAAGGGATTTAGATAAACTTGAAATTGTCTACTATTCAGTGATCAATTTTAAATGCATACCAGACGTACAGAAGGCTAGCCGCGGTCTGAATAGCTCTGCGATAACATGTCAGATTGTGAAGATGATGACGTGGGTTCGAATTCATCTGGGAGCGGAGGGTTAATGTTTAAGGTGTACAATTTCATCTACTAAGACTACTTTAAACCCCTACCTAACCACTTCAGTTCGGACAACCGGCTTGTATTACCCCACACTTACACTGTGGCTCATACTCAAGTACCTGACAACTTGTTACAATTAACCGTATTGCTGTCAGTTAACATTTCGCTTTAGAAACACAAGTTTATCACTGTTCTAATGATGTTGTTAAACCAGGTCAGCGACAAGGAAAAATATAGTGACATGGGTAGAAAGAGTCAGTAGCTCTATTTAACCGGTTGACTATCATAGTTAAGTGTTTGAAGACAGTCGTTATGCCTGGGACTCAGCGGGATATTCCTGAAAGATTGAGGGAATACATCTCCTCTCGAAGGTTTGAGATGGTGTAGTCCTATCCTATACTCGGAAACTTCGTCACAGCTTTCGAAGCATCGAATGAAATACATTAGTACTAAAAGACACTTAGCTTTCTGACCATATTACAAACTCAATATGTAGGATTCGACTAACTACATGACCAATCAGTACATTAGTTTATCAAACTAGTTTTTCAAACCGAAGAACGGCACTAAACTTTATATGACTTATTTTTAGTACGTTGGATCCAACTATTAAATGATTCAGAAGCTTTATTCTGTGATCAATGGTCGCTTTAATCATTTATATACTTTTCATCAGGAATTATTAAAATCAATGTTTTCATAATTTTCTTTGATTCACTTAGGAAGCAGTTTATGAAGTTTGTCAAGCGTGCAATGCAACAGAACGTGAAGTTTTCGCTGCCTTACTAAACAATGATCCTAGTGATCAATTGTCAGTTGCTTATCATCTTATCATAGACAATAAGTAAGTTCCACTTGTTATTACTTTCCAGTTGTAGATGCAATTTGGGGGTTTTAATATCACAAACACCACAATATACTCACAATGATATGGGTTGTATTCGGAAATTAAGAAAGGTCACAGTTTGATCGCTCTTAACTTCTTTTTGTGATTCAATACATTGAAGAAGCTTTGTTTTTTAAATTATTTACTTCTGACTAGTCAAGTGTATATTTTGTGGTATTCACTTACAGATCTATATAAACACTTGACAGGATCTTGAAGATGTACCTTTCACCGCATTAGTTAGGTGAATCATCTACTGAAGTAGGTATAGGACAAATTGAACTATTCTCATTGTGCCTATCCCAGTGAAGCGGTAGCCCATCGGTTATTGCTCTCATTTGTCAGCCACTAAGTCACATGTTCCGATCCCGCTCTATCTATTTGGGTTTGGGCAAGTAGATATGATAAACAACCCTCACAACTAAGTGTGGCTCAAATGTAAGTACACAAATTATTACCTGATTAAATAAGTTCACAAATATAGCCGGCGAACTGGATCTTTCTATACATATATTGCCGTAATTAGTCTATTAAGTTTAGTAGACAAAATGAATATGAAACCAATATCAAAATATATTTTGTTCCATATTTCCGTGCTAATCTTTTCATCTACTTTTTTATAATTTCAAAGACGTTTCGGATCAGTTTTAAATCCAGAAGAAGTGAATAATTTTTATGTTGCCACTGGGATTGATTCATCAACCTCATCAGTAACAGCAACAACGCCAAATACATCGAATAGTCCACCCAGTGGTGGTACATTGACTCATTCTCAGCCTGGTGGTGGTCGAAGTCAATCATTAAGTCCAAATTATGGTAACAATACTGGCATGATTGGATTAAAAGGTAGAGGTATTTCTCCAACACGACCTCATCCAGAAAGAATGCCTGATGGACCACCGTTATCGAGAACATTAGATCCAATGGGGGATTCGTTGGTAATAAATTCTTATTCAGTGTGTTTTTTCTACATTATTTATCAGACTGAATGTTCAATAAAGTAGGACTATAACTTGCGGATGAACCAATCAGATTTAAGATAGCAGTTGTTTTTTGTACGAAGCTCAATCATTCATATAGGTAATTAGCATTTTAGGATTGTAGCTGATGTTAGTGTGATGAATACATTAATTCTACCTTATTAACTCCAACCTCTAACTCTATCTTCTAATATTAATTTACAACCGTATTTTGATTCTTGTAAATTTCTCCACCCCACTTTATCGCTTAAAGGTCATCCACAAAATTACTGATAGTTTTAAGGTTGACGTTATTTTTGCAACTAAATAACTTTTATTAGCCAATTTGAATATCTTCTTAAGATGTTTGTTTTTAGCTATATAGGCGTTACTCATTCCTTATATGTAATGCATTTTTAGAAGTTGTATCTAGTGCATTTATCGTAAAGCAAGATTATGCATACTTTTTTTCAATGATGTGTAAGTTCAGTGAGCAGTGGTTTGATACTCAATAAAGTCAGATTGTAAGCGCGTTATCTCTAAAAAGATGGCTAAGTTAAATAAAAATAGGGAAGGCGGACAACCCTGACATACACAACTTATCGATTCCTATGACAGTTCATCATTGATTCGATCAGTAGTGTTGAGGTCAAGAGCCTGTACAAGGTTAATACACTTTTTGGTATGTCTTTAAATGGCAGACAGTGTCGCAGAACCTCACGATCAAGAGATTTTATGATACTTTAAGGTCAATGAATGCAACCGTAATTGGACGTCGGACAGCATGCGTGTGATCTAGAATCTGCCAAACAGCATCCATGTCTAAGTCTGAAACCATCCTGGTTTTCCTTAGTTTGCTCCTCACGAGCCGTATTCAAGCGTCGGACTATTATTGATGCTAGTAGTTTAAATATTATATTTGTCAAACTAATTCCTCTGTGAATGTCACAATAGAATTTTTTTCCTTTCGTATAAACTTGTTTTTTTTTCGCGATTAAGACCAGGAAGATGGCATTATGTCAGATTCCCAGATTATAGTCAAGATTTCGGTCAATAATAAAGCTTAAATAGACTACTCCTTAAAGACTTTCGGATTTGATCCATCTGAACCTGCTACTCTCCTTTGCTCTTAAATCGCCTTTTCAACCTCACTAAGAGTTGAAGGACGTATTTCAACTTACCATTCAGGCTAATTGGAGATGGTGGGTGATTTAAATGTGACTGAAGGCTATTTGAAGTGACCATCAATTCAGTCTCTAAAACTAAAAGTAAATAGTCCACCCCCCATTTTTCTGATATAATCTAACTACCAGCTGGATTTTTAATGCCTGTTTCCTTATCGAAGGAATAAGCAATAAAGCAGTTTGTTTAGTAGATCGTTTCAATTTACTTTGCGTTGATGATATCTCTATCGTTAGCTTACTATTATCTGAAGTTGTGTTCCGCACTCATTTACATATTGTGTCGTTTGAAATTTAGCATTCATATTAAGTCAGTCATAATCAACGTACAGCTCGGCGCAAATATGCATTAATCCAAGTCGCTGTACCATATCAACATAACAGGATGAATACCAAAAGTGTCGGAACAATTGTAGTAGCAATAACAGTGCGAGTGACTGAACATTACGAATACAGTTCAAAAATAGAATGAAAATGTATATGTGAAGGAATCAGGTATCAAAAATGAAAATGTCTTCGATTTTTTTTAGCAAATAACTGACTTCAATATACCAAGTCCTATTACTCAAAGCCATCCTTATCTTAGTTTTTCTCCCGTAGTATGTTGATTGATAGTTGTTAAAGTTAAACAGAGAACTTCAAGTCTTATGAAATGACCAATCTGTAACAGTGCTTAACTCGGTGGTTAAATAGAATATCTTTTGCCTCGAAATTTGAAGATTCTAGGTCCAATTTCATTCAGCTGACTAAAACGGGATTAGCTATCCAATGCTTTTTTGATGATGGTTGTGGTTGTTCTCCAAGTTTCAGTTCCATACAACAGAACTATATTGACGTTCGTATTGAAAATTCTGACTTTGGTATTGGTTGGCAGTTGTTTTGAGTTTAAGATGTTTTTCATTTGTGGAATGCGACCGTTTGCCAATCCATATCTGAACGGTCGCATCAAGTCCTCTTTGTTAATCAACGATATTGCCAAGGTATGCGAGTTCCCACCTCTTCCAGAGCCTCCCCATCTAATATGATGTGGTTCAGTCAGCTACAACGTAGGACCAGGCACATATGTGCATCGGTCCAGGTTGCCATACCGCATCAGCACAACAAGATGAACACCGGATTCATAACAGTGGTTAGGTCAAAGTTGGTAATATATAAGAGAAAGATTGCTTATAGAGATATAGTACAAGAAGAAAGAATTGGTTCGTAGAAAGAAAGATATGAAGTGATTTTAATCTCTTAGTTTAAGGGAAGACAAGGAGTGTATACACCGATGTGGTTGGTGCATTCCGTATGATGCTGACGATCTCAAGTGCACCAGTGTCGAAGAAGCTTTCATAAGGCTTTCCTCTCCACGCTCTTAAACGCTTTTTATAGTCAGGGAAATTGATGTATCGTGACGAGTTCTATTCCATTGATTGTTCAACGATTATTGGTTTTTTTGCTATTTGGTCTGTACACGACCGATCCTCGGCGTTGTGCGTCTATTAAATCTTTCATCCGACTCAACAACACTTGAAAACTTTTCCTGGTACCGATAACAGTGAGATACATTCCTTCTTTCCAGTCTGTCGACACTTGTTCTTACTTCCACATCCTTGTGCATAGAATGTGGAGCGTGTTTGAAGTTACTTCTGTGTCTGGCTTTAGTGCTTCACCTGGTATATTGTCTGGTCCTGCTGCTTTCCCACTCTTGATTTGCTTGACGACCTTGTTTATTTCCTCGAATGTTGGTAGGTAACAGGTATAGGAAGGTCCGTAGGTGCTGTTTCGGTGTCCTGTGTTGAGGTTGGTTTATTCAAAAGCTCTTCCAAGTTGTCTTCCCACTTGTCCAAGTGTTCTTGAATATCAGTGATAAGTTTGCCTTCTTTATTCTTGACTGGTAGTTCTGGTTTACTTTATTTTTCTGCTTGCCTCTTCGTTCTGTCATATAGTTGCCTCATACTCCCTTCTTTTGTAACTTTCTTCACTATGGTTGTTAGGTACGCCATATATTTCAGCCTATCGTTTCTAAAATTTTAAATATTCTTTATTTCGGTTGTTTACAAATTGTAACTTGTTTGTTTCATTTGAAATTAAACATTGTTCAGATTTCTAGCTTCCGAATCAATTTTTAATGTACAATAATTTATTATTTTAATTCCTATTTTGTTTAATTATAGACACCTGGATCAATTGTTACAGGTGATTTGAATTGTCCAAGTCAAATTTCTTCTCAAGCACAATCAGCTATTTCATCGGGAGCTGCAGCGGCCAGTGGAATGAAACGTTTTAAATGGCATTTAGGTATACGTTCTCAATCAAGACCATGGGATATTATGCATGAAGTATTTAAAGCAATGAATTCACTTGGTTATGAATGGAAAGTCGTTAATCCGTTTAATGTACGTGTAAGAAAATGGAATCCAATACTACAGCATTATTCTCGACTTGTATTACAACTTTATCAGGTTAGTTGGTTATTATGGCTTTTTAACACTGTTATATGAATATGTATAGTTCTTTAATGCTTATCAATACATATGGTATATAATTCTTGTTCAAAAAATAGTTGTCTTTAAAAGTCTTTTTATTTATTGTTGGATATGATTTGTTTATTCAAGATGATAATTAATGTTTATAATCTTTTTTTTAAAAATTTACATAAATAGTTAATCACGAACTCAGCACAAATGTGCAACATTGGCTCAAGTTGACCACAGGATATTAGCACTATAAGATAAATAGGCAAAAAAATTCGTAGTATCAATAATATTAATAGTTGAATTCATGAGTAAATTTTAAGCTAGACCACCAGTGAAAACCCGATAGCACTAGACGGCCGTTTCGTCCTAGTATGGGACTTCTTAGCGGTGCGCATTTATGATCCCGCATGCAGGACTCGAATCCAGGACCTTCGGTCTCGTGCACGAACTCTTAACCTCTAGACCATTGAGCCGGCATCCAACGGTGTTAATGTCTAACCTCAATCGATCCATGATATTGCCCAACTCTTCATCGATTGTCTGAGATAGATACCTGTCTCTACCCGATACGGATTGGACTCATGAATTCAGCAGTTAAATATACCACAATCTCCACAAGTCCCCATTTTGATAATATTAATAATAGTTTAAAATATATATCAGGTATAGAGAATATATGGGAGTAAAATATCCTAATATTGAAATTCATGGTCTAGGTGAGGGTGATGAATAAATGTATTTGCTTCATTGCAACTGATTTCGAATCATATTACCAATGTTCTCCGAGTATTAGTCACAATTATCTCATGGATACTGACAAGGTAATCTGAACCAACCAGGCACTTTGTCAACAGTGATGCCAAGTGCTTGTTTAATCGGGCTTACTGCCACGCTAAAAACCATGTACGAGAATATAGCCTGTATTTTCTATGTAATATCAAGAAAAAAAAGCTTATTGTTTCTAAAAAAAGGCTTGAAGTGGTTCAAGGAACCTAAATTAACGGATGTATGCTCAGGGTTTAAATAAAGTCGGTTTTTCTTTTATCTTACAAAACACTTAGTGTAACAGAACATCAAAAGTATGCTTTTCATTCAATCAAGGATGTGGATCTCACTTTTACAAAGAATTTAATAGAAAACTAAGTCATGATTGTTACTGACTTCCATTCTGATAATTCCTCAAGCTACTGAGCTTCATGTTCTCTAGTACTTCAATAAAGGGAATCATGGAATCCACAAATACCATTCCTATACAACTATCTTTCATACCACGGGACCGTGTTACAAGCTGATCACGTCTCAACTTCATCCACTTAGTCATAGAATCAGGAAGTAATGCACAATATGAAAACTTACCCAGGCTTCTGAAGTCGATATTTGAAGATTTTGGATTATCATCACTCAAAAGATAAAAAAATGAATGTTACTAAACCTCTACCATTGATTTCAAACTATCTCGTATATGACTTACAACTATAAATTATGATTTCATCGTTAGATCTAATAAATAAAGCCAAACTTACATACCGATATTAGTCGCTTCCTTAATCTAATACTTTGAACTAATACTACATTTGGCTTTCTTCCACCCTACTTTTTATGACGAACAGTATTGTAGTTTGGTGTAGAAGTGGTGATTACTACTGATATAAATAGGTAACTTTTTATTAAACATACCATATGGTTTGGAATATTGGACATAGGAATATAACAATCTTTTAGAATGTAGATAATTAAATCCAATATACGTCTCGATTCTAGAGATGGAAGTTCAACTCCATGTACTAAACGTCACACATCGTATTTGAAATGAAAGATTCTAGTACAAATAAATTTACTAGTATCCGTACTTGTTTTTTATTTCAAATTACTTACTCTAATGAGTTTTAATGGTGACATTTTACGTTCACAGGTCGATGCAAGATCATATCTCCTCGATTTTAAGTGTATCGATGAAAGTCAATTAGAATCTGAAACAGCGATGGGTAGACTACGTTCAAACAATATGTCAGTATGCCTTGATGCTTGTAGTGGAAGTAAGTTTCGACCATATTTCTTTTTAATGTTTTTATTTATCGGTGGTATTAAGCAATAATAGTCACAATAATACTAAAGACATTGTAATGTTATTATGGATTAAAAAATATACAACATATAGATTCTAAGATGAATGTTAGTTCGCACAAGTCGATGTGCTTTGCAACAACACATCGAGAAGATAAGAAAATAGTGAGATTAGTAATAAGAGGAACATTCCTGAGAAACTGAAGTAAAGCGGAACTGATACAAACAAAATAAATAAAGTAATGAGTTGTTCACAACCGGATTATAGGCGGGAAACTTTAGAACTATATATATAGGCAGTATATTCTACTTATGTCATATTTTTTAGAAACATTTTAGTCAGATTGATAGTCACATAATTTCTGTACCTACTTTTGTTTTTAGCTCCTCCAGCTGCTATGGGTACTTCAACATGTAGTAGAGATGGTAGTTTTTCCGGTAGCCCTGGATCTGCTAGTCCAACCAATTGCTACGATGGTCCAAATACAACTGAATTTTCTCGATCGTTTTCAGCTAATTGTCAAGAAGTACCGATTAACCGAAGAACTAAACGACACCAAACAATGGAATTTTTTGAAATGTGTACTGAACTTATTACTACATTGGCTCGATGATTTACTATAGTAGTGTTTAAGCGCAGATTCCGCAAGATTAAAAAATTAATCACTGTACACAAGGACGATAAATACTACTACTATCACCACTGTATACAGTGATTAGCTCTAAAAATTCCTATTTGTAGTATTTATCGTTCCTTTTTATTTCAACTCCTGATTTAATTACCAATTAGCATTACTTCCTGCCAGGAAAGTCTTGACCTTATCCCCATCCCCCTCATCTCTTACAGACATACGATGTAATTTTTATTTAATTTGATTTCCCTTTATACATATATATATATATATATATATATATATATATATATATATATTCATTCTTGCTTGGTAGCATTTATTCTTTAAGATAACAATAGAAGGAATATTGTTTCATCTGTCGGGGGCACTTTTATTTCATTCTCTGAAAATCAGTATATTTGAGATGATTTATATATGATTATTTGTAGCACTACAAAATGTAGAAACTTTAGATTAGCATATATTAATATGAAATCAAATATTGAAATAAGGAGTAAACCATATTGAGTAGTGCAATTGTGACTATTAGCTGCCTACTGTAATCTATAATCTTTTATGCATTCAATCTAATCAAGGTTGTTGAAACTGAAATTCATCCTTCATGTTCTCACACATAGATGGACTTACTGAAGTTCGAATGTAACGACAGTTCTTGAAATTGTATCACACTGATCTACAGCTTTTTTAACAAACATGTACCAAATAAATACACTAATAAGCTAACCGCTTTTTAGTCGAAGACCAGTAACTCTGTCAGAGGTTACAGTGATTTTTTCTTCTAGCTAGCCTTCATCATGACTGGTCTGAAAATGCTACTTTTTGTTCGACTTAAATATGAATGTGCGTTCGTCATCTAGATTTTTTGGTCATCAAGGTGGCGTAAATCCTTATTTGATATTGACTGTAGCAAAATGTAGTTTTCCAAACATGATTTACGAATGTTTGTGATTCTATATTTACTTTCTACACAAACAGAGAATGATCTTGTTACTGTTGTATACCGGAGTCTAACCTGAACTCTGACCACTCTCCTTCAGTAAGTATTAATGTCTCAACGCAAATACATAAAAGTTGTCAAATGTTCGATTAATAGGTGCCTTCGAAGTATTTATTAGTTATATTAACCCAACTAACAAGCAAACAACATTGAGTGTGTGGTCTAAATGAATGGTATCAGTTGATGTTGTGAACTTTAACTAATTGAGTGAGAACTATGCTCAGCTACGATCTATATCATTGTTCATTGCTGGCTAACGATCTGTAGACTGCATCAAATTTCAGATTGTTGATTAATCTGTGTAGAATTTCTAATTGGGATTGGCTAAAGACCTTAAACGAACTCGGATACAATGGTTTACTTATATCCGGGTTATTATTTTTCTAAACAAAATAAGATTTCATACTCTTATATTCCCACCAGTCGGTTATTATTATCAATAATTATCGGACGCGTAACAAAGACTTACGAACTGCAAGCACGAGAAAATCAGACTAGCTTTAGACCTGGTCATGGCTGCATCGACCACATATTCACCATTCGTCAGGTTTTACAACACAGGCATGCTTATCGGCGTCCGACAATGATAGTTTTTCTTAACATAGAAAGTATCATTTGACCGAGGTAGTTTCTGTCATTGAAAGGTGCACGTCAGAAGTACATAAACTTTGTGAAGACTCTTTACTCGAACACTAGCAGTCGAGTCAAAGTTTATGGCGAACTGTCATCTGATTTTGCAACCTGTTCACTATCTCCGTTTTTGTTCACTTTCATCATAGACGTATGTTATAATTTCTCTTATTACGACCCAGCTATTGTTTGTATTCTTGGACACTGCTTCACTCGACAATTCCCAAAATCGGAACATCATTGGTCTACCAGGAGGTTCACTTATCGAATTAGAATACGCAGTGACAATTTTGTTTGGTGAAGACTGATAAAATGCAGTCTTTTGGCAGCACAGAGCAACAATTGCAGGATGTTTGGAATGCGCTTCTCTCCCTCTGAATACCAACTGTTGTTTCAGGACTGACCTGCGTCAACACCTGAACTAAGGATAGGGAGTAAAGTAGTCGAACGCGTGGACAACTTCACTTATCTTGGAAGTCTGACCAGCCCTAATGGGTTGGTGTCTGACGAAATCTCAGCACGGATTCGAAAAGCTCGTTTGGCTTTTGCCAATTTACGTCACCTATGCCGAAGGCGAGATATCCGTCTATCAATAAAATGACGAGTATAATGAGCGGCAGTTCTGTTTTAATTTACGAAAGCGAAACATGGCCATTGAGAGTAGAAGATACTCGTAAGCTGCCAACATTCGACCACAGATGCCTTAGAAATATTGCTCACATCTGCTGCGACCACCAGGTAAGTAATAGTGAATGATGGTAAATCAGTTGATAAAGTTATGAATCTTCATCGACTGAGATGGTTGGGCCACGTGTTGCGTATGCCCGAACACCGATTACCACGACGCGCACTGCTGACGATGCCGGAGACGGTTGGAAGAAAGTTAGGGGTGGCCAGACCAAAACGTGGCATCAGTCACTGAAGTCACTAACCTCTAGTGTGAGACATGTTGGTAAATGCAGGCTACGTGACTATCATAACCAATCGTTGGAGACTCTGGCTGACATGGTTCAGAATCGATCACAATCGCGTAGGTGTATGCACATTTTGTCTTCACTTAAACCGTGAGGTTAAAATTACTTTATACCTTTCTGTCTACCAACTAATTCTTTCTTCCTGTACTATATCCTCATACATAATCTCTCTTTTATACATTACTACCAGTGAAGTAATTACTTCTATGAATTTGGTGTTCGTTTTTTGTGTTAATGATGTGTGGCGACTTGGACTGATGCATATATATGCCTTGTCCTACGTTGTGACTGACTGTATCCTTATACTATCTTCTATTGCTTTACTGATATGATATATGGGAACTGGAACCGATACACAATCTTGACAAGTCCTAATATTCATAATGATTCACTAAATGGTATTAACTGAGTTTATATTAGTATTAATTAACAGTGGATATATAAGAGTGCTTCACAAACCCGTCAAATGAACTGTGTGGATTTAATTTAGATGGAGACTTGATGTCGCGTGTAAACAATTTGTTTTAGTCACAAGTACAGATGTATCTATTTCACATTCTTTAGGTAGGTAACTATTCTTATAATTTTTATATCTGTCTACGTCAGTATTGCTTATTAATTAATCTTATTCGTTTTGTTATGCTATAAATTTTAAAAATATGATCTGAAAAAATCTGTATTCTTGTGTTCACCTTTCAGTATATTTTGTCTAAATCATGATATAGGCCTTGATGATATCATTCAATGAAGATCAATATTTGTATTTACATAACCCTATCAACAAACAAGTAACACTACGATGTCAATAATTTTAGGATATATACTCAAGGGAGACATTACGATTATATGAATCTAGTATAGAGGTAATTCTGCGAGTATTACATTATACAAAGATTAAAACTGAACTCATCGTTTTTTTCTCACAATGATAAGATTATAGAAAACAGAAAAAAAAGAAAGAAGAAGTAATTATCTTTCAAACAATATATCCAATTTGATTAAAATCTGACTGAAATTCACTTGTATTTTGTCGAGTTGCATTTTGTTCAGCTAAATATAACATATTGGTTAAATTGACATCATCTGGAAGTCCTGGTAATATTGTTGGAACAAATGAAGGTGATGAGAATGGACTAAACCATCGCCATGAAAATGGTGCACCAAACGCTTTGATAAAATTTTTCTTGGTTGATTGTTTCTCCCATGATGACTGTTCTTTTTTAATATTTTCAATTCCCTTTTTTTTTAAAAAAAAGTGAAGAAAAGAGGAATAATTAGAAAGGTGCATTAAAAATAAAATGGAATATTAATGTTAGTTATAAGCAAAATACAGGTGAAACTATAATTTATGGACGATATTCGAGAGATCTTGAGACAACAACCAGGGTAAAAAAAAGGGTTATTAATATATATACTTCGTTTGACCTATTGGCTATTGTAATGCGATTTACCATTCTTAACTTGTTCCCGATCTATTAGTTACAGTCTCTCACAATCACAGCCATTTTGGCTTGATCTTGTATTATTGTTATTTTCTATTTTATGATGTTTGAAATACATGATCGATACAGTAGAGGCTGGGATTGCGTTCTGGACTCAAATGAGCATGGTAAGGCACGAAGAAGCGATAAGGACTCATAATTGACTCTAGGCTGCTCGTACTAGTTAACGCGTCATGCATTTGGTACAGAACCAAAGTCGGTGTTCTGATTGGCGATCTTATTACGTGGTAATTGATGGGCTATAGGGCATAACATTTATAATCTGTACTCGTAAATTGTATCTAATAACAAGTGAATTATTACGCAGTTTAAGCCCTCACATGGAATCCTGAAGGCCAAAGGAGAAGAGGAAGACCAAAGAACACATTATACCGGGAAATGGAAATATACATGAGAGAAATGAACAAGAATTGGATGGAACTAGAAAGGAAGGCCCAGAACAGAGTGGGTTGGAGAAGGCTGTTCGGCGGCCTATTAGGAGTAACAGGCGAAAGTAAGTAAGTATTACGCAGTTTATGGTTAGTTTCCATTAACTGATCAAATATGTGTATAATTGACATCTTTTTCTGCCAACACGTTTCTGGTTTTTATTTGTCAAACACTTTTTTCTTGATTAAAACTAATCAAAGTGAATAGTTTGTACCGACAATTACAAACTAAATAACAGATGAATCTAGACTAAAGGTTAGTTGTCACTTCACTAAAAGTGTAGATGAAGATTGTTTGTAATTACAAGATATAATGAAAACATTGATTGAAGTATTATATAAGTGCTGGGTTTCAAGGGATCACTTAAAACTGATTGATAGATATCAATGCAGTTTGAAAGATTATGAGTACAACAATAAGCTTAAGTTCTGTAGTAGGAATTTTTGT